CCCCTCCCCCGTCTTCAACAAGACCTCTGTTGGCGCTTCGGTCCCGGAGTGGATGCACCCCGCTCTGTCGGAGCTGGAGACAGCCGTCCGGGACGATAAGGTGGCCCACAAGAACACGGCCATCCTGCTAGAGGCGCAGGTGGCGGTGCGGCGGCTGTGCGGCGGAAGGGTAACATTTTGCAAGTCCGGCAAGGTGTGTACGTGCGTGGCAGCTATGGGTGTAGCGTGCGGTGATCCGTATATTTGTTTGGTTGCGACGATGGGCGCCAACCTGCTTTTTTCTTGAGGCGGGGCGCATTTCTGGATAAATGTCAAGATGGTTGATGTCACGTATAGAGCACAAACAACAGCGACAGGGATGCGACGGACGGTCAAGGCCCTCCACCGTCGGTGATCTGATGGATGAGTGGTGATGGTGTTATTCGGCCGTCTTGAGCGGCGTGGCTGTGACGTTAAATTTTGTGGGTTTGTTTCCTCTTGTGCGTAGGTTTTCTGTGATACTGGTTCATGGATCACGTCGTGAACGCTCTTGTGTTGGCCTTTCAAATCCCCCCAAAAACCGACGTTTGGAGAACAAGCGGCGAGCTCCTTGATACCCGCCCCTGCCATAATCATCTCGTTTCTCTCCTGCAACCGGCAATCGTACGCAACTTCGAAGCACCACCTTTCACCTCCCCACCAAACACATACACGCCCGCCTGAGATGGTCATTGGTCTAACAACTACGGCTTCAAAAGATGAGTTGAAACGCCCCAACCTTATTTTGCATGGTCAATGGTCTAACCGCGAAGGCATGCAAAACATGAGCAACTCCCCACCCCCCCTACCCCCCCTCAGGACCGAACGGCGATGTCGATCACTCTCGAAGAGGCGCTCCTCTTAGCGGAATCAACGTCGCAACAATCCCCACCCCGAGATAGCGGCTTCGGGGTCGAGGGGCCCGCCGGGGCGGTAGCAGCAGGAGCGGCAGCGTCGGGGGGGTGGAGAGCAGCCGAGAGGAGCGGAGCTTTGGCGGACGCGAACGTTTTGCGTGCGCACGGGGCCCGGCTGCTGGTGGCGGAGAAGAACATCGGGCGCCCGCTTTACTCGTTCAACGCCCTGCAGCGGCAGTTTATTCCGGAGCTGTACCAGCCCCCGCCACAGACCATACAGGACGTCATCACGTCCGCGCTCAACCGCGATTCTTGATTGTGGTGTCATGATAGAGAGGCATGTAGTAGCTTTCCCTTTGTTTGCGGCTCTTGTTTGGGTGTTCCTGTACGGCTAGTGACCGCTTTGGTTGGTGCTTCGTTTTGCGGGTAACAGGGAAGAATTCGACGAGGTCGGGCGCCTGCCGTTGCTGTTGCTGCTCACGAGAGCTTGGCACGTCTACCGAGTGGGTGATGACCTGTTTGGTAGGTGCATGCCTAGGTTTTGAAAAGGAAATTGGCCGGCAAACTACGTAGAATGAACGCACACAATGCGGTTGTTTTAACGGGTGTTCCCCTCTGGTACGGGAGTGATATCGTTTTCCCCGTTTTGCCGCACTCACACAATCCCTCTGATATTGATCGAATTGGCCATGCGGCAAACGGGAGGGTCGGAACGTGGAAGGTACGAACGACCGACAGCAGTTGGTAGGTGTTCATGTGCCCGCCGCTGCTGAGAGCACGTCTCTTTCTGGCAACCGTAATATGTCGTATGCTGCCCCCACCGCCTATCTGATGTTTTCATGGTGGCGGCCACATCGAGCGTGACTTGATACTTGACGCATAAGAAAGCTCGTGGGTGCGTTGGATAACATCCAACTGATATTGTAGTCCCGGTTGTGGGACGCAGCAAAGCCATCACCCGCAACAACAGTACTACTCAACCGCCCCCCGTGCTACTGCTGTAGTACATTGAGCGAGATGCTGTGCACACTCAAATTTAGCCCAATACACTCGGGAGTTCCTGCTTCGTTCAGCTCTGTACAGAACTCCGCGTTTGTTGCCACGAATCTTCGAGGTGGACCGACTGTGATGGAGGCCCTGCGCCCCGTCCGCACCTGAGGATCGAAAACATACTACCAAGACCGCACACTACCCTGGATATAATATGTGTGTTGAGCGTATTTCGGTGCAGCTTGCTCCCTCTCTCCTATGGCTATTGAAGTGTCTTAAGATGAGCGGTTTGCCGGAGAACCGGAGAAGGCGCCGGGGGGGGTACGCAGATGTGAAACATCCCCCGTGTTTGTACATGCACGAAGTCCCCCGTACCAAAAGCCCCGAGCCTGGCAAACACACCAGGCACTGCTTGCGGAACTGCTGGTTGTACGCCTGCCGGAACCATGCGTAGACAATTACTAATAGGATCGTTGAGTCTCGCGACGGGAACTGTGGGGTTTTTGTCCACCTCGCTCCTGCCGAGACCACCTTCCAAGCTTGCTGGCCGGCATCATGATCTTTGCAGGATGTGCGCACCGTCTTCTGACGCGCAAGAGGGGCTAGGAGCATCTCCGGCCCTTACGAGGGAGGGATGGCTGAAGGTGAGTGGGTGTCGCCCAAGGTATCAAATGAATCAGTTATCGCTCTTGTGTGCGTGTCATGGTGTCATGATATCAGCCAAGCAGGCAACTAGCGCCCCTTTCATGACACGCGGCATAATTACATGTAAGCACACGCGGCAGAAGGCAATGTATCCATGCTGCGGTGCTCATGTGTCATGTGAGTGACAGCGAGGGTCGGTGGTGTACAACCGCATGGTGGCCACAGCTTCGAGGTGGCAGCAGAGTGGTAGCAGCAGTGCCGATTCTCTATATGTATCTCGGGGACAATGCGGGCAATTATTATTAGCAGAAACAAGGGCTCGGACGCGGGGGGCTACCGCCCCCCTCGTCGTTCGTTTGCTCCGCCGCCCTTGAGTTGGTCAGGATTTGGTTGTTTAATTGAATTTACTTCAGAACAGAAGTGGAGCGGAGCAGGCCGTGGGGGCAGTTTTCGCGATCCGGGCAGGGCTAGCCCTCTACTCCCAGTGTCGGCAGGGAACTGGGCTTGACGTGTGACGTTGATTCTCCGGCTTGTTCGCGTCTCAGAGGCGATGCCTTCGAGAGAGCGTCCATTCTTTATCTTTTCTTGGTTGGTTTCGGTTGTGAGGAGGGTGAGCAAGCGCGCGTGGTGCGTGGGCGACTTCGCTGTGTGCTCGTTCCATGATTTAGGAAATTCCAGAGTGAGTGTGAATTTGATTGTCCAACGAAAGTTGATGTGACACGACAAAACACATACAGTCGACCCCGCTTTAAAGACACACCGCGTTTTTTTTTTTGTGTCTTTAACGCGGGGAAGTGTCTTTAGGATTCCGGGGCCACTAACTCACCGTCCCCGGGGTCAATGGAGGTGTAACATGTGTCAAAATACGCGCATTTGAAGCAGGAATGCGACCACGAAATTGTGCTGCTTAAAAACTGCGACAACACGTCAATTGAAGGCCGCAACACTACTGCTGCTGTACTCCAATACTGTACACATTTTTGAATTTCCCTCCACCACCGAAACGCGGGAAGGAGTACAGCACGACCTATTGTAATGTGTACGGCAGTGTGCGCTGGTGTTGTTGTAGGCTTTTCTTATTGTCAAGGCGTTGTCCTCACGGTGAACATCATGCCCGTGATATCGCGAACACACCTGAGACACATCAGTTTGTTGGAACTAGCTCTGATACGATACACGCAAGTTACCTGCCACATAGGGACCAAACAAACCCAGTCGACCCCTTAGAGGGATCTGAGGGACACTAGGAAACGGTCGGTAGCGCAGACCACAACATACAAAAAATCGGGCAAACCCACCGAAAAGAGAACACCGCTCTTCCCCAAAGGTCAACACGAGGCAAAAACACAAAACAAAAAATAAATGCCAAAATTTAACTCCACGAGAAAGGCAAAATAATCCCAAATAATGAATGTGGGCTGCCAAGTGTGTTGTCCTCAAACACCAAAAACTACGTCGCCCACACATCCCGAAGAGTCGCCTGCACCTCACCCCCCTCCTTCGTTCTTCGCTTGACTTGAGTTTCATGAGTGAACGAATGCACAGTCTTCGAAAGAAGGTACACCGTTTCGCTGTACTCGCCGTCTCTTCCGTTCGCGTACAAATAGGAGCGGACATCCTCGAGACGAGAGCGAACCTCGGCCTCTGAAATCGTAGATGTCATGCACGACTCTTGCCTACCGTCCTGGTCTTCCTCTTCACTGGACACGTCGTCTTCGACGTGTACTCTTGACATGTTCTCCGTTACCTCTTCCATCTCGAGTTCTACCTCTTCCCTCAAGACCTCTTCATCGTCCTCTACACTAAGCCACGTGCTCACTGCGCTCCGCACTTCTTGTTCAGTGAGGCCGGAGGTGCTCTCGACGAACAAGTTGTCCGACAACACTCGCGGCATGGACCTAGCGTCCAAGTCCTTGGCACTCTCCGGCAAGGACATCTTCTTGACCATCTCGCAAAGGTCGTCCAAGGCAGCCGCTTCCTTGTCTTCTCGGTCCAGTCGCGTGTCTCTGCCCTTGAGCGCGTTCTCGTGCTCCCTAGGAAGAATGGTGGCCTTGAGCCAGCACCTGACAACAGTCTGGTCCGAGAAGCTCTCCCACTTCTGCGAAAGGATCTCCGTCACATCCAGCATTGTTGCCTGGCCTGCGTCGCTCAGGCCCCGGCAGCCCCTGCAAAACAAAGATGCAAAGAACACAGTAAAAAAAAAGAAAAAGATCAACAGTTTTTAATCACCAGGAGAGAGGGTGGATTTCGCTGGATGTGGTGTACAGCAGGCATGTTTATGTCGGAGACCCTGTTGCAGCACTACTGTCGCATGGCACTCGTCTACAGCTGCAAAACGGTAAAGTACCTGCAACAGCTTGTCACTCGCCTAACAAGGAAAAAAAAACGGAACCTGCAGTCACAAGAACCAATCACTAACTTCACCGCCGTCAAAAACACAGCAGTTTTCACCTTCGGATTTTGCACGCACGCGCTGTGTTCCAGTCCTCGATGAGGGCCGCCAGCCTCATCACCATCTCCGTCTTGTACTGGCACTTAAGGGCAAACAGGACCCCCATGTCCATAGGCTGAAAGACGGACGTGACGTCGGGGGGCAGGAAGATGATGACGATTTGCGGGTCGTCGTTTCTGATCTTGTGGCCTGGGCAGTTGTCCCACAAGAGAGCCACCTTTTTCCCNCATGTTTATGTCGGAGACCCTGTTGCAGCACTACTGTCGCATGGCACTCGTCTACAGCTGCAAAACGGTAAAGTACCTGCAACAGCTTGTCACTCGCCTAACAAGGAAAAAAAAACGGAACCTGCAGTCACAAGAACCAATCACTAACTTCACCGCCGTCAAAAACACAGCAGTCTTCACCTTCGGGTTTTGCGCGCACGCGCTGTGTCCCAGTCCTCGATGAGGGCCGCCAGCCTCATCACCATCTCCGAGCACTCTCTCTGCTGTCCGTAGCCTGCCTCTCCGATGCCCCGACCACAAAACGCGTGCATGGATCGCCCGCACGGGCACTGGTGAACCGCTGAGACTTTTGCTGGCACGTGGGTTCGCCACATGGCCTCAAGCCGGCAGCTGACGACCCGCCAGCAGATGGGAGGAATCTCTCCATACCCACACGCAGTAGTGCGGGCTGCAGCAGACCGCTGTCGATGTTACAATGCCTTACAGATTTGCTGCCCCAGCAATTTTTTTTTGGGGGGCCGCATAGTGGAAACGCTACCCCCCTATATTATCGTACATCTGCGGGGCACCATGTTCTGGGGAAAAAATGTGTCTTTAAAGCGGGGAGTTTCCTTGAGAAGAGTGTCTTTAAAGCGGGGACGACTGTACTGCTGTACAAGATAATTCCACCGAATCACATAGATCGTCGCTCAAAAAATACGAAACACCACTCATATTTCGATTGTCCAACGAAAATTGATGCGACACGACACAACACATAATTAAATGTATTTCCACCAAATCACATATAGTCTATCTTCGCTAAACAAATCCGAAACACCACACATATTGATGTCGTGTTATCATCGCTCTGCTGCGCATCGGTTCGTGTTATAATCGCTCTGCTTCGCGTCGGTGGTCACAATGTGAGGATGCGTGTGGTGAGTGGTGAGTGGAATAAAGATTACGCACAGCAAACATATATATTTGCGGTTCATGCAAACTGGATTGAAGACACGCAGCACACCAAAATCAACCGCTCAATGCAACAAACCCCGACACGAAATACTAGTCCATAAATTGTTGGTTCGGAGCGGAACACACCGCCGTGTCTCGTCCAATCAGCGTCGCGAATCTTGATCGTGACAGAACAATGAGTCCTCCGTCTTTGCCGGTGCGGGTAGCTCGCCGTGCATAGCGCGCCCTGAGCCCGCGACGGCGAGGTCTTGCGGAGAGCGGGCGTCCCGCGGGCTCCGCGAAGAGGGAGCCCGAACGGTGTCTGGTGGCGGGCTGGCGGGGCCCGTGAATTTTGTCGTCTCGGTTTTAGAGTAGGGCGAATTCCCCCGCTGCGCTGTCAAGCGTCGAGCTGGAGCTTGAGTGAATAATACATACCTCTATAAGGAGAGGTTCCGGTTGGTTCGAACCGCTGCCTTGGAACGAGAGGGGGGGCGCCGCTGCCGATGCTTCAACTTAAAGCAGCTTCTGCACTTTGCGAGTAACTTTGTTGGTTTTGCTCCTCCTTTTGCATAGCATGCATTCGGCAATAGCTGTAGCAGGCCCTCCCCTGGCTTGCATCTCGTCTCGCGCAGCAGTTCAGTTGGTCGGTCGCAGAGCAAACCTGCCCTATGTACTTGATACCAGGAAGCTGGTCATAAACTGCAGCAACAAGGCGCCCTGTGCATACTTGGACACACGGCTTACGTACACGGGGTGCAAGAACTCCTGTACACTGGCTGAACCCTCGTACCCGACGTGTAGACAGCATTCTAACTGCTCGTGCCCAAGGCGATACGCACGCTGCGAGAAAATCTTTGGAATTTTCTCGCGATAAATGAGGACTCCGCTGTCGGGCCGGCTGCGGAGAGCGCCAAGCTGGCGTGGGCTGCTCTCGAGAGGGCACGCCGCAGCAGTTCTCGCACAGCGGTTGCTGATGCAGCGTACATTGCGTGCCCTTCCGCTGCCTGGGTACTCAAGGGTGTAAACGAGGCGAAGGACAAGTTATGCCTAACGTGCCTGTTTGAATCACTCCCATCGCTCACGATGACATTTGTACATGTTCAAGCATAGACCACGATGAAACCAATCCCAGAGAACAATGGCGAACGAAGCACAGTCTAGTCGAGCTTGACACATGCGTCACGTCTCGTTCCCTCAACTCGCCCTCGTGTCGCATCCCGCAGGCAACCACTGCTGCAGCCGCGCTAGGGGTCGGCATCGCTGTGTCCCCTGGTTCGTCGACAGCAGCAGACGGCGGAGCCCCCAAAGGACTACCCGCCTCGGGATACTTCGTGCAGCACGCGGTGTTTAAGGTTAGGGTTGGGGTTTCAAATTGGCGCCAATGGCTAAAACATTATGTGTCGAGTAACCGTCCGTGTAACAAGCCGAGGCAAGGCAAAACATGGGCAACAACATCATTCGGGCAACTTTTTTCAGTGGCCATGCCACGGCGCTTTCTACAAGTTAGCGGACTACTTCAAGGCACCGCTGTTGACTGATACAGGATATCACAGTCTTCCGATGATTTTGTGCCAAGTCGAAGTCTATGCGATGATCATCGACGGTGGGCATGACTGAGCAACAGAAAGACAGGGGGTTCCGTAGAATCGGATGCGTAACCTCTAGCATATGTCCGTTCAACTTTTTTCAACGTTTTTCTCCCACCGTAAAAAACGCAGGGCCCTTCAGCGAGAATCCACTCCGACAATGGTGGAAGGGTGGAAACACACAGCAGTGCGTCTGTACATGTTTTAGCAGCAGCGTGGTTTACACAGTGCATCGTTGTAGGTTACCGTAGGTGGCATAAGACTTCACCCCCCCTGAACCGATTTTCAAAGCTTACTTTCTCCACAGCAGAAAGCGTGGAGGGGCCGAAAACGGTGGCGTTGAAGCCATCTCGTCGAGAGCTTTCTGAAAACGTATCGTTTCATTTATGCATCGTCTTCGTGGCGAAGTGATCGAACCTTTGAAGAAAGACCCAGGAGTCACGACTAGAAAGAGAACGAGAGAGCCATCAGCGTCTCCCTCTGTCATAATGGACAACCCTCAAGTCGACCCAGGCTTTTGATCACACAAAGAACGGAGCTTACTGATTTTTGAACCCAGATGATTGTTTTGAAATACGACAAACATTTGACGTTCTCTAGGAAACTTGTTTCGCTTCTTCGGAGAGCCTTGTTACCATCGGCAAACGTTGTTTTGGTTGCGCGGCCCCTTGTGTCCCGTTCCGCCAACTTCGTGTGCTGCAACGGTGGCAGGTGCCCGACATGGACGAGGAGGTGAAGTTTTTCACGGAGGGGCTGGGCATGAAGGTCGTGCGGCAGAGGGAGGTGAACGGTGTTCGGAACGTTTTCGTGGCGTACGGGGACGAGAGCCTGCAAACCAAGGACGGAGGTGAGGGGACGGACGATCTGCGCGTAGCTTTGTCTGGTGTGGATTGCACGTCTTGGTGCCGGCACCGCTTGCCGTGTGTTGCGTAAGATACCACAGCCCCTTGACCGACTTTCGACAAGCTCAATTGCTCTGCGACGGTGCCGGAAACGGCGGCGTTGGAACCGTCTCTTCGAGAGCCTTCGGAATCGATATCAGTTGATCGGAATTGGTATCAATGGATCGGAATCGGTATCAATAGATTGATAAAATATTTTTTCAGAAAACCACCTACGGGCCCGTTGCTCCCCGATATTCACGAGTGAGGCTTCTGCCTTGCATGAAATTAGTCTGGACTTTATTTCATTGTCATTGTCCTAGTTCCAATAAAGAGATTTACGAAACCTAGGCCTTCGACCCCTCACGCGACGCCCCCCCCGTTCTCCCTCCTTTTTTCCAGGGTACTTTTCCTTGGAGCTGGTGTACGACCCGAAGGCTCCCCCCGGCTACAGCACGGGCGGGCCATTCCAGTACCTCGGGCTCACTCTCAGCTCCACGCTAGCCACGATCGCCTACAAGGTGGACGCTGCGGTAAGTGTTTTTCGTGCGGACCACCACCCTAGGCAGTTTTGCCAAGAGGGGGGGTACGCGTATTATGATAGGGAAAATTGCCTTGTCGGTTGTGTGATGCGTCAGTGGCGAGGGGTTGCTTTTTTCTTGTTTTCGTTAAGGAATTAGATTCGACCCCACTGATCCATGTTGTTTTTTGTGCGTGCCTTGTAACCATCCTTTGTCTGTGGTGTGGTTGCGGCAGCCAGGCACTACCTCACGCCCCGTTAGTGGTATGTTGCCTTTTTTTTGCACCAACCCCTACTTCGTGTTGTCGTTGTCTCACGCCCTAGCGGTACGACCTAACCCCCCCCCCCCCCCCCCCCCCCCCCCCCCCCCCCCCCC